CCCCGCCGGCCTCAGCGAGCCCGCCCCTCCGCACCTGACTCCCGTCCGAGCTGCTCCGGGCGGCCGGCCCCGCCTCAAACTTCCAACTGCGGCCCGAGAACCGCCACCGCCGCCTTCCCCTCACTCGGTCACCGCAGTCGCCTCGGTCACCGCTGGCACCCCTGCGTGCCGCGACTTCCTTTTCCGAAGGCGGGACTTCCGGGTGCATGAGCTGTGACGTGCTCGCTGAAGAGAAAGAGCTTCCGTCAATCACGGGGTCGTGGTACCCGCCCCCTCCTGCCTCGGCCTATAAGCGCGAGCGCCACACTCTGGTCCCGCCCCTCCTGGCCGGCGCCTTTCTCAAGCAGAGCCCGCGGGAGTTTTTAGCCTGGGCCAGAGGCACCCCTAAAGCAAGTCTTTCTACTCCAGCTGCTTTAAGCGTAGAGGGGTTGCTTTGCAGGGGTTAGTTTTTAAATTTCTATCTTTTGAGTTGTATCTCGTCGGTTTTAATTATAGTAATGACTCAAGAAACCTCAGTAGGACTGTGGCGGACCCTGGAGATCCTAAGATGAACCAAACAAGATTCCCCCTCCCAAGGCCCTAAGTCGGGGTGTGAACCGGAAGGTCTGTATTCTCACTTACCCAACAGGGATGCAGGCAACAAACCCTAGTGGTATTAGCTATATGTGGCACTAATGGAAATTACAGAGAAGTGATGTCACGTGACTGTTGTTTCTGTCTCAAATTACTATTCATCACTGCTTTGAAATTAAGATAATTTCATCTTGTTACTTAAAGTGTTAATAAAAAGCACATGCATTTAAAAATATTATTATAAGAAGATAGAAACTTCACCAGATTCCAAAGGGGCATATGACACAAAAAGAGCAAACACTCAGTAATGGGAGAGACAGTCATGCGATTTACTTCTCGATATGTTCATGCACTCTTGGGGCAAAGGGAAGAAGTGGCTATTGTGAATGTGATGCGCAGGTAGCGGATAGAAAGGAAAGAGTAAGGAACAAGAATGTTTATAGAAATGGAGCTACTAATTCAGAGTGTTAAAAAAAGAGGTGTAGGTGCCTAAGAAAACTGGTGGGATGCCTTCAACCCCAATTTCCCCTTTCCACAGGCAGACATTGCTCTTTAACTGTTTCTTCTAGTTTGTTGATCCATATTCCAAGAAACATGCACACACAGCCACACACTTCCAAAATTATACAATTTTGGGAAAAATTACGGTTTAGTATTTACGTTATTATGACTGTGAAAATATTTATAATGACTGACGATAAATTTCTAGTGCAACTTTTTCACTGGATTTTAATATTTACCTTGTTTTTCCCCCCTTTTGTCTGTCTGGGTTTTAATAATAGCCTTAAATTTTCTGTCAGCATTGTAAATCTCCTCTCGCTGCACTCAAATATATCAACTACTCTGTATGTTTCATTTTTTTCCCCTTGAGACCTCACTCTTAGATAAGCACCTCACCTCTGTCACTGCCAATTCTAGACTGTTTGGAAATGACTTCTGCCAGTTGTCTTCCTGAGATTGCCTTTCAAACTTTTCCTACCTTGAGTTGGATCTCTGGTTAGTGGTTACCATGTATTCTTGTTTGCATTGTTTGGGGACCATATCAGTTTTTGGAGGTCTTGAAACTCAGAAAATGTCTGTGTTTTACCCTCTCACCTGATCGGTGGTTTAGATATATAATTCTAGGTTTGGAAACCTTTCTCTCAGAATTGTTAAGTGATTGCTTCATTGTCTTCTGGATTCCATTGTTGATGCTGAGAAAAGTCAAATGTCATTTCTTTTTTCCCCTTTCTCAATATTTTTAATATCTTTCCTTTCTTCCAGTGGCCTGAAAAGGTGTGCTTTGACATAGGCCTATTTGCTTTCTTTGGCTTGGCACTTGATGGCATCATTCATTCTGGAAACCTATATATATCCTTCACTTTGGGATATTTTCTTGCATTATTAATTTTCTTGAGAACTTGCTTCCCTCCCCATTTCTTCATTTTCTTTTTTAGGGACCCTATATTACTCATATGTTGGATTCCTAAGCTGACACTCTAATTATCTTTCATTTTCTCTGATTTTCTATCACTTTTTCATTTTGTTTTATTTTTTAGGAGTTTTGAAAAATTCTCAATGTTTTTATTAGGTTTAATTTCAATATCATGTTTGGAATTTCAAAAACGTGTGTATGGATTTGTATGTATGTGTATATGTGCCTGTGTATTTGTGTGTGTGTGTGTATGTATGTGTGTACATGACCATATATCAAGGCCCTGATGTGTTTCTTGTTCCATGGTAATATGATATGAACTGCTACTGTCAGACCCGAGGGTTTAGCAGAGGCAAAATCGAAGCTCTTTTGGAGTTACAAACTGAATTCATGACTGGTCCTGGTAAAATGAGTCTCCTTTCCAAACCTACAGTTGCTTATGTTTATAAAGTGCTGCTTTTGTGTTTCTCAGAGCTCCCACAATCCCCCAGTTTCTTGCACAATTCTCCTTTCATTCCCATAATTCCCCATTTCTCCTATAATTCCTTCTCTCTCCCACAATTCTTCATTTTCTCTCAAAAGTCTCTCCTCTCTCATGATTTCCCACTCTCTCACAATTCCCCAGTTTCTATCACATTTTATCTGTTCTGCCCCCAAATTCTCCACACACACATACACAGCTCTGGTTTTCTAATAATTCCCTGTATCTCCCACAATTCTTAACTGTCTCCACCAACACCCCATTATCTGCACAAATCTCTTCTCCCATAATACTCTCATCTCTCCAACAATTCTCTCTTATTTCCCACAATGCTCTCTCCCAGAATTCTGTGTTCTCCCACAAGTCTCTGCTTCTCCCACAATTCTGCATTCTCTCCCATAGTTCTTTTCCCCAAATTCCCTATTCTCCTACGGTTGTTTTCCCATAAGTCTCTGCTTCTCCTACAATTCTCCATTCTCTCCCATAATCCCATTCTCTCCCACAATTCTCTGCTTCTCCCATAATTCTCCATTCTCTTCCATAATTCTCTGATTCTCCCATAATTCCCTGTTCTGTCCCACAATTCTCTGTTTTCCCCATAATCCCATTTTCTTCTCTGTGGAAATAATTAGTGGTGGGTATTGGATTTGCATTTCACTTCTCAAGTATAAACTACAGTCAAGGGCCCCCTAACGTGATTTTTCTTCTGAAGGGGGGGGATGCAGTAGACCATAGTTGTCTGAAATTGCCGTCTTACTGTTTGAAGAAGGTAAGAAGACAGCGAATAAAAAAGGCTGCAGATTTTGAGAAATATATAGGTTTAGGGGCAAGATGAGTTTGGTGTTGGTCACACTGCAGTGGTTATGACAATGTTTATCTAGGCAGTGAAATCCAAGAAGCAATTCAGAACACAGAACTGAAATTCAGGAAAGTGAGAGCTGGTTGCAACTAAGGAAACGTAAATCACCAGGTATGGTTGGACATTAAAGCCACAAGTATGAATGGTGATATCCTTCAAGGCTTTTGTTTTTCTTTGCTATCATTCCATGTTTACCAAAGAATCTTCTGAACATTCTCTTCCTAGTTGGGTTTTCCTACTAGGAAGAGAATGTGCCAATCTAAATATATTCCTGTCTCTTTAACAGTTTTATTTCTTGTAATCATTGTGAATTAATAAGTTGGGAAGAACAGAAGTAAAAGTAGAAGAAAAATAAGGAAAGTGAGGTATGAGTGGCTGTAGAACAAGGAGGGGAAGGTTCTCTTGAGTGGTTTAGACTCATTCTAAAGTGGTATTGAAGCTAAAGCCACAAAAGACAAGCTGACAAACCATTCTCTACCACCACCACATCAAACACAGTTTTCTAAGAAATATGCTTTGGAGATATTAAAATTTGTATTTTAACTCTTGAATCCTAGTAGGTACAGATGTTTGTGATATTTTTTATTATATGGTCTCCTTATGAAATAAAACCCAAAGATATACAGGCTCTAAATGCAGAGTTATTGGTACAAATATTTAAAAGATATAATCAGACTGTAGCAAAGGTTTGGATTCCCCCCCCACACACACACACACTAGCAATGGCAATATAAGGCTTTACATTCAAAGAAATAAATTGTGAATTATAAAGAATTAGCATAAATGCTAAAATATGTTACTCTTTCTTGCTCCTTTGCTCTGGGGGCTCTCAACTAATTTGCTCACGGTTCCTCTTCAGTTTTACCTCCCTTGATGTTACATCAGAAGCAGAGGCAGCCATGTTAGTAGGAAGCCTAATGCATGAGCTTGTCTGAGGAGTGCTCTTTTGTCTCCAAACGTCTATCTTACTAAATTTATCAATCAGTGCTCTCCAAAGAAATAGAACCAGTAAGAAATGTATCTATCATCTATCTATCTATCTATCTATCTATCTATCTATCTATCTATCTATCATCTATCTATCATCATCTATCATCGTCTATCAGGAGATTTATTTTAAGGAATTGTTCCGCACAGTTGAGAGGGCTGCCAAATCTGAAATCTGAAGGGCAGGCCAGCAGGCTGGAAACTCAGCAGAAGTTGACATTGCAGTTTTGAGTCTGAAATCAGTAGGGCAGGCAGTCAGGCAAGCGTTTCCTGAGCTCCTGCCATGTGCTAGATATGGAGCCAGTTTTGGATGCCATGGATGGGAGAACACATTCCCCACTGCCTCACCAATACTCTTGGTAGTGAGACAGGCATACCTTCAGATGATTTCTTTTATTGTGGTTAATTTATAAAGTTACCGTGGGAGTATAAAGAAAATGTATTTACATATGAGATCTCCAGGTGATGCCAGTGCTGCCGGCCCAAGGTCCACACTTTGTTGTTATTATTATTTGTTGTTTTGTTGTTGTTGTTAATCCTCACCTGAGGATATTTTTTTTCATTGATTTTTTTTTT